ATAGTGAATAGTGAACAACTTGCAAATTAAATAAAGTGAATACAAATACTCTATGTAAAAAGAGTATAAAATGGTGGTTCTACTAAAAATTGTATTGATCACTTGTCAAACAAGCATGGGCTTCTTCCAGATGGACAAAAAAAATCTAAGGTAATATTTTTTTTATAAAAAATTAAAAGTATTTGTTATTTTAAAATTTTTTATTAAAGATATTTATTTTTTCATAGCAAACTACCAAAGTTTTTGAAAAACATAAAGAAAGTCAGCAACGTGAACTACGTTACTATCTAGTAAACTTTATTCTTAATACAACTCAACCATTAGGAATAGTTGAAAATAAATCCTTTCGCCAACTTATTCAAGAATTGGATCCAGCATTTGATATACCAGATCGTAAAGGTGTTAGAGTTATTATTCATCTTGCTTATAATTATACCTTTGAGATTTTAGTTGGTTTATTACGATCTATTACTTCTGTTTCTCTTACTTTAGATTTATGGACAGCACGAAATCAATATGGGTTCTTGAGTATTACATGCTCATATATTGATCAACAATATAAACTTCATGAAATTACTCTTACTCTTTCTAATATTAGATACTCACACACCGCTGAATATATTTGAGATTCTTCAGAAGATGTTTTTAATAATTAGAATTTACAATCTAAAGTACATTCCATAACAACTGATAATGGAAGTAACGTTAAAAAGTGTATAAAAGATATGAGAGGAATAAAATGGCATCCTTGTACTTCACATACATTGCAGCTGATAATTGGTAAAGGATTAATACCAGTTAAAAAATTAATCTTAAGAGTAAAATGGTTGATTGATTTTTTTTCAAAACCTAAACAAGCTGAAAGGTTAGAGGATATTCAAAAAAGTATAAATGAAAATGAAAGGGAAAATGAGGTAATTAATTTTAATTAAAATTAATAATATAAAAATAAATTTTAATTTAACTAATTTAAGTATTTATTTTTTATATAATAAGAAATAAAGAAAACTGATAAATATCTACGAGTTATTTAAGATTGTAAAACATGTTGAAATAGTTCTTATTATGCATGGCAAAGGCTTTTGCTTCTTCAAGATGCAATAAGTGTTTTAAATACTAAATTAGCATGTGAAACTGATAGAGATTCAAAAAAAGATTCTAAAAGGTTAAAAGAAATAATGATTACTACTCAAGAATGGGATTTGATATAAAATTTAGTTGATATATTAGAACTATTTGCAGAAGCAACTGATTATTTGGGTGGTAATTCTTATTGTACTTATAGTATTATAAATCCATTAATTGAAGAAATTAAAGAAAAACTAAAGAATTCTTTACAATATTCACAATTTTCTTCACCACCACAATCACCACAATTACTATTATTACCAATCACAGAAGAAATAGATAATAAAAATGCATTTGATGATGAAGATTTAGAAGAATTCAATCAGTATCAAGTTGATTTAAATCGATCTGTAAATACATCTGGCTTGTTAGATTTGGTCAAGAAAAACTTTACGAAAATTTGTGTCAATATTGGAATTTTCAAGATCCTAATATTCTTTTGGCTACTTTGTTAGATTCACGTACAAAAAGACTTAAAGATGTATCTATTCAAGTTAAATTGCAAACAGAGGAATTATTGCATGATAAAGTTGAAGAATTAAAGCTAGAAACTTTATCTTTGCCAAATTTGACCTCTCCTGATTCTACAGATTCCACACCAACAAAAATTAAATACAAAAATTCAATTTTTACTAAATTTCAAAAATCTCAATCGAAAGTTGTAAATTATGAAGTATTAGAGTACTTACAACTAAATGAAATTGATTTAAGGAAAATCTTTTTGTTTGGTAGACACATAATGAAAAGCATTTTTACTATCTGAGTGTGTTGGCGCATAAATACTTATCTATACCTGCAGCATCTTCAGCTTCAGAAAGATTATTTTTAGATGCAGGAAATTTGATGGGACCAAAAAGAACTAGGATAAATCCTGAATTGTTTAAAAAAATTATATTTTTGAAATGTAACTCTAAAATGTTACCTTTAATTCATCCACCTATTTCTAAATCTAAATAATATTTTTTTTTTTTTTTAATATATATTACAATTTCTAAATAATAAATTTACTTGATTTGCATGCAACCAATTAAAATTTATTTTTATTAAAATATTTAATAGTTATCATAAATCCACTTATTTGACAGACGTTTTACCTTCAGTTGAACAATAATGGTCTGACTATATTAAGCCACAAAGATAAGCATTATACATTATCAACTTATAATAAAACTATGTAAACTATTTTATTTTTATTAGATTAAAAATTAATCCATGAATCTGCAATCTGTAATACATTCGAATCGTATTTGACAGATTATTTGGATAAATTTGTGAATTTGTGACAGATATCTGGATCTAAAAATTAATTACAGATCAGATTAAATGGATCACAGATTTATCCGGATTCCAATACTAGCTCTATATATAGTTAAATATATTAATTTTTAATTTTAATAAGTATTATTCATATTTTAATCAATTTAATTATTATAATTTAATTTATAAAAGTTTATTTGAGTAATTATAAACTGTATTTTTATAAAATTTATTCTATATACAGTATTACTAAATAATATATTATATTATAAAAGAAAAAAAATACTAAATATATTTATAAATAAAACATATATATTTAATTTTATATTTAAATTACTCACTCATTCATTATTTATAATATTTAAGGATTCTATAATTAAAAATATATATGTTAAATTAAAAATAATATTAAATTATACATATATTATAATAATTATCAAAATTTTGATTAATTTCTAAACTTTTATTTTCAAGATCTAAAATTTCATTTAATCTTTCAGTAAAATCAAGTAAATGATTTGTATAAAATACTTGTGAATGATCTTTAATAATACTTAGATTATTATTTTGATTTTATTTAAATACTTTATCTGATTTATAAAAATCTATAATATCATCTTTTAATTTTATATCATAATTCTTATTAATAATATTATTAATCCATTTATTAATAATCATTTTAATTTCTAATGCGATTGACTTTTTTAATGGATCCATATCCCAACATTTTTTCATTAAATTTATATAACATTATGAAATATTTTTAATAATTTTAAGACGTTTTCCTTTACAAATATTTAAACCAAGTTAAAGATTATAAGCTTCATTATTAAATGGAGGAACTTCTAATATTAATTTCTACATAATCATAGAAAAACTATATATATTACTAACTAAAGTATAATTTTGTCCTTTTAAAACTTCAGGAGCTATAAGGGTAAAACACCATAAATTTCATTTTTTTAGATGTTTGAAAATAATCTACAGATTTACATAATCCTAAATCATTAATAGATAAAATATTATTCCTAATATTTAAAATATTACTATGATGAAAATCACAATGAATAAGATTTTTTTGATGTATTTTCTCAAGTTCACTAATAATATTATTTAATTATAATAATTTAATTATCTGTTTATCCTTAACTATATTTGGTAAATTTTTTCTTAAATTATTATATATTGCATATTTTATCATTACCATATAATTTAAAGTATTTGGATCTTAAGTAAATCCATATAATTGAATAAGATTTTCATCTGAATATTTTTTTTAATTGACTATAATAACTATAATGATGTTTTCATTAAAATAAAAATAAATTAATTTAAAAAATATAATTTAAAATTAAATATAATTATTAATTTATACCTCATTTAAAAATTCCTTATATAGATTTGATAAATTATCAAAACTTTTAAGAATTACATTAATAATATCATTTCTAATCCATTTTTTCTCTTTATATAAATAATATTTAATAAATCTATCAATTCAAGTTGCTTTATATATAATACTAAATCCTCCTTTATCAAAATATTCAATATTTTTAAATTTATTATAAGGAATCTATTCTAATAATTGCTTTTTATTTTAAGCATTTATTTGAATATTTTGAATAAATTCATCAATAAATTTATTTATACTAGTCCAATTAGAAAAATCCTTTTAAAATAATTTAGAATTACATTATTTACATCAATTAAATCCAGTATAATTTTTATTACAATTTGAACAAATTCCTTTTTTTTCTAAATAATAATTTTATAATATTAATATTATAATTATTATTTTATTATTATTTTAAAATATTAAAAATATAATACTTACTTAATTAATATATATCATTAAATAAATGATTATAATATTTTATATTATTAATTTAATTTTGATTAAATTATATATTTATTTTTTTAATAAAAAATTTAGTTGATTTTAAATTATAGTAACAAGTATAATTAAATACTAATAATAAATAAAAATAACATATAATCTATTATATTATTAATTATTTATTTAAATAAAAAATTTAGTTAACTTCAAATTACAGTAACAAGTATAATTAAATACTGATAATCAATAAATATAACTTACTTACTAATAAAATTTATTTTTTTAAATAAAAAATTTAGTTAAGTTTAAATTACAGTAACAAGTATAATTAAATACTGATAATCAATAAAAATAACTTACCCACTAATAAATTTATTTTTTCAAATAAAAAATTAGTTGATTTTAAATTACAGTAACAAGTATAATTAAATATCGATAATCAATAAAAATAACTTACCCGCTAATAAAATTTATTTTTTAAATAAAAAATTTAGTGTACTTAAATAATAGTAATAAGTATAATTAAATACTGATAATTAATAAAAATAACTTACCATCTATTATATTATTAATTTATTTTTTAAAATAAAAAATTTAGTAAACTTTAAATTATAGTAACTAAATACTAATAATCAATAAAAATAACTCACCCTCTATTAAAATTTATTTTTTTTTAAATAAAAAATTTAATTGACTTTAAATTATATGGATTTACTTAAGATCCAAATACTTTAAATT